AGCGATATATATATATATATATATATATATATATATATATATATATATATATATATATATATATATATATATATATATATATATATATGTAATATATATAATAAATACACAATATAATATACACATAACTTAGCAAGCTTTGTTTGGCATATTTATTACTATACATACAGTTTCGTCCAAGTAAATAACGTGGCACTCTTCAGATAAAATAGCCTATGTTTGACCTACAGCTTCTAACGAACTAAGTTCAAGAAGAAGAAGTTTGACGAAGAAGATAGAAGTTTGACCTATAGCTTCTAACTCACTCTTTTAAATTATGTCTATAATATTTTTGTATTTGGTAAATATAAGAAGGGCGGGGGCGGAAGCTGTTTACAGTTGGGCCGTAACGTTTCACGAACGAAGCAAAAACCGATCCGATACAATGAAAACGTAGCCTAAGGCCCTGTACACGGAGTGAACGCCTGAGATTTGTAACAAAAAGAGGCGATTAAGCTGGTTGTGATCAGGATTTCATGTTCTAATGTGTGACTCTCATGTTTGTTTTCTTATCCAGATTGCAAATTATGAAATTAGGAATATCGTCACAGCGATTACAACGGATCCATCTAAGTTGTACACTTGCGGAATAACTTTGGGTCAAGGAAAATTCAGGTTTTTACGAGTAGATCCTGGCCGAGCAATTGTATTTCGGCGTAACGGAGAGGAAGGTGGCATTGCAGTGAAAACAAATAAATGCTTAATCATTGGCACATACAATGAAGGAATGGAATTTGCTGATTGTTGCTCTGTGATTGAAAAACTAGCTGATCACTTTATTATGGTTGAATATTAAAAAGTCTATAATATAAAGAGTTTTGGCCAAAAATAATTAAGAATTACTGCAGGCTATATATTTACACTGATATACCGGAAAGCTTTCTGTAGCCGCATGAAAAAACACCTAGTCGGTACGGAATGTAAAACTCTCAGAAGCTCAGCGAATCAACAACCGTCCGTTTCAATGATTCCTCTGAAAATAACCTTCCCTAATTAAAACAGTAAAAGGTAGGGATGGGTGTTTTTCCACGTCGCTATGGAAAGCTATCCGGCGCAACCTCATTCAGGCTATACGTTTACACTGCATGAGCAAGGTAATGCAATCAGTAGCAAAATTCGTGGATCGATTAGGCTAATGTCAATGAGAAATATCACGCTCTTCCCGGCCCCCTGCTCAATGTCGTTAGACTAAAATGTACTCTATTGTTTTATTGACGACTCTTCCAGCACATACAGCAACATTGAATGTTACATGTTATATAAATTTGCACAATTATTTACAAAAATATATAACCTTTCAATCTAGGTGTCCCACCTCTCAATGTCATGTACTGACTATGTATGAGTATTTTTATAAGCTTTCTGCATGTGAGTATACGGTTTGTGTTACTTAATGGTATATACAAATAATGAATGTTTATTCGTGCAATGGTAAGAATATTTTCATTCGGTGAAAGATGGAATGTTCCATTCAACGAGGCGACAGCCGAGTTGAATGGAACATTCCATCTTTCACCGAATGAAAATTTTCTTACCAATGCACGAATAAAAACATTTATTATTTGTTTTATATAATACCAAAATAGACTATAATATTAAAAGGTTTACTGTAAGCTCCCGCCATTTTGACGAGTCGTATTTGCATTAAATCCCATTTACTGAGTTTCGAATATCGGGTTAAAATAAACTGCGATCACCGTACGAGAAGCATTTTGACGGATGCGATTTATCGAAAACACAAAGAGTGCAATGGAATAAAACGTATAGTACAATTCATAGATATAGGGGATCTAGATTGCTAACGCATACCTAGCGCAGGCGGGGCCTACATGATAAATCCAAGATGGCGGTACAACAGGGCAAAAAGACTATAGATTCTATTACGAAAAGCAGGATTTTTGCATTTTTTGCCGTCGCATTGTTTCGAAACTTATTCGGTCAAATTTTATGGTAAAGAGAAACTTACCGCGAAGATTTTGAGCATATTATTATATGATTGAATTGGATGAAAAATCGCAAAATTATCCAGCGATAAAAGTTCGTGTGAAATGGTCAGTTGGTCAGTTGGAGCGTTTTATTGCCAGAAATACTGTGCTATGTTAACATCTAGCCTTGTGAATGGTGTTTTATACTTGCATCTCTCATCATCATCTGCTCTGTCCTCATAATTGTGAAAAATGAACTGTTATGTACCCCCCCCCCTTGCTTGTTAGAGAAGTAAACTGATGAGAGCACTGGATGAGGGTCTATCATCTATGGTCTGTTATAATTTGCTTTTTATGCAAATAGTGAGCAAAAATTAAAGCAAAACTGGACAAGTTACATATATAGTACTATATCAGTACTATACACGAACTTTTATCGATGGATAATTTTGCGAGTTTTCATCCAATTCAATCATGTATATATACTCAAAATCTTCGCGGTAAGTTTCTCTTTACCATAAAACTTGACCGAATAAGTTTCAAAACAATGCGACGGCAAAAAATGTAAAAATCCTGATTTTCGTAATATAATTTATAGTCTTTTTGCCCTGTTGTACCGCCATCTTGGATTTATCATGTAGGCCCCGCCTGCGCTAGGTATGCGTTAGCAATCTAGATCTCCTATATCTATGGTACAATTGCACTCGCAAGATACAATTGCACTCGCAAGAGTGCAATGGAACGTATTCCATTGCACTCTTGGGAAATGAAATTTTCTATTCAATATCACGTTACCATAAACAGCCAATTAAACGATCAGAATTCAATAAGGTATTATATAATAATATATATATATAGTAGTTCATGAAATGTTGTAACTTACGTACTTAATCTAAAGTAATATGATTCGTTTGAAGTTTTATCTAGAGTTACTTTAGCTGGATATTTTGCGATATATCATACAAAAGGCACCCAAAATGCGTGCGGTTGAATTTAGAAAAGTCCGGTATAATAAGTAATAGATTAATTTATGTTGGCGGGAATAAAGAACCATGAGTACCAAGAAAATGACTGTGAACGAATTAGATGATAATTGGAACTTGCTCATAAACTAAAAAAATCATAATTAGTCGCGTATGTCAGCGTGGTTGACACAAAGCTGCAAGGAGCGTGTTTAAAGAACAATGTTGTTTAATGAACTGATAACTTGATTAGTGATACATGTAAGACAGGCTTTCTGGCATTCTTGTGTAGAAAATTAGGATAACAGTATAGGACTAGAATTTTAGAAAAAGTAAGAGTAAAGTAGGAAAATGTGTAAAAAAGTAGGACAAAAGTAGGAGTTTTTGGAGATGCAAATAACACAAAAATATACAAAATTGCCGGGTGGACCATTAGATATCTGACGGCGAAGTTGTGTGAATTTTTGGTGCTCAATATTTTTTTGCACTCATTCATCTATGCAGGATTTGTTCTCAAAACTTTTAAAATTAGATATTAATTTAGACAATGACTGTTGCATCGGTATAAAATCTAAGGCATCTGCTCTGCAGCAACACAATTCAAATGCGTTATATTATGCGTGCGAGTGCATGCATGTACAGTATTTGGCTGCGCCATATACCAATCCACACTGTGAGGCAGGAGCATACGATGCTTCATTAACTGGGAGATGAATATTTGGAATCGTCGGAAATGGCATTTTCAGAGTCTTCATTAATTTATTGTATGATTCTAGAGATGCTATGGAATTTTATACTCGGAAAATGTACTTCTTCTCTTCCTCAGATCTTCTCTTCCCGAGTCCTATAGATCTAATTACGAGAGCTATAACATACTGATTCCCCAAGCTTTAAAATAGTAGGATTTTATGAGAAAAAGTAGGAAAAAGTAGGAAAATCAAGCAATTTTTAATAAAAAATAGGAAAAGTAGGAAAACCGAAGAAAAGTGGGATCTATTAGAAAAAAACAACTAGAATTGGCTGCGAAAAGTTCATTGTACGAAAACTGTTTATGGCATTCATAGGTTTTGGGCTCCAATTTTCGCCATCTTGACTTCACTTTTCTCATAGGCCGAATGACCGACGTTCTTCCTCCGGATATATATGGAGCTCACCGGGTGGAACTCTTTTGATGAAGCCGGATGAGAATTCCTGGATTGCATTGATACTCTGAGTATCAAGCCACGTTTTCCCTTTCTGAAATGCAGGTGGATGAAAAGAAAAAAAGGGCCTGACACAAATCGATTCCAGTGCGATTTGAGTCTGCGGTTAAAGCTAAGGACGCTTTTTTGCAAAATATAGTCCTTAATTCTATAGTCATCATGCAGTTTACGATATGTCAGTGTCACTTGCAGTGTACATTCCCTCACTCACCGCATGCCAAAACATAAGCCTATTGCGAGCGACATTTGCTCAAACGAGTTTGCGCAAGCGCACTTGGTGTCATTTTACTTGCATAATCATAATATCATATATTACTGAACGCCATATGTCGACTGTCTCGAAGCAATGTCGACCAGAGAAAGGCTTTTATAAAATTGTACATCCCAGACATGAATATAAGAACGCTGTTGAGTGTTTAACTATGTATATTGTACATAATAAAGTCGTTGTTCATATAGAGTATAAATATCCAAGCCTTTATGGTATAAATACAGTAAAATAGTTGAATGCTTCTCGACGTTTAGAGCAAAGCTAAAGGCCCTTATATTGTAGCAATGCTTGCCAACACTTGCTGGTTTACACAGACTTCAAAGAAAGAATTTCTATACGATTACTCATGTGAATGAGTGAATCATGTCCTTGTTCCTTCTCATTTTTTTCTTCGTACGCTGCATCAACCGGTAGCCAAATTAAACCTGATAAACACTGAAGTCGAGATCATTGTCTAACCTTTTCAATCGCAAAGTGACGGGGTCCAAATTGCGTCAAAATTTAACATTTTCCCACCAAAATGACCGCAAGAGCCCAGGCAAAACAGGTTACGACGCTTTACACGCGGGTCGCAGGCGCATTCACAGTAATTTTTATACTAAACAATGAAATATTACGCAACTTTGAGGTAAAAGTGACAGGGTTTTTTTTAACATCCAAAAGAAAGATTTACGACAAGAAATAGCGCTATAACACAAGGAGTCCCAAGCCGAGTGTACAAATTAAGAATGTTTTATATAAACCGAGAAATGAGGTATTTTAGGGAAAAAAGTCATGTTTTCATTGCGCGATTGTATTACGCGATGTCAGCGTGACATGACATCTGATACTTCTGACCTAATGGCATTACATGTTTTGCCAGTTATTCCTCACACGCATCAAATATCAGAAAGAACGTAAAAGCTATTTGAATTTAGTTTGTTCAATATTCAAAAGCGGATGATTTTAATATAGCAATATATTTGGTTCCAAATGCATAGGCATAGCTTCCAATTATAGTCAATTCGCCTTTCTCACGATGACGAATATCCGCCATTTTTGGTTGGCATCTAATTCTCGTTAACCAATGCAGACAATTAAAGCAATGTGAAAAGCAATTTTTCAAAATAAACTGACCATTTACAAAGCAAATTTACCGTCATTCGTCACAAAATTATAAAGAGTCGCTGTCATGTGGATTTATTTCGCAGACTTCGGCTGAAAAGTCACCCAAAAATGGCGGCGTGAGAAAGGCTAATTTACGATTTATAATGGTAATTGAACTGAGTGGAGTGCAATTTGGACTGAAATCAAACGCGTGATTACAAAATCGCACGATCGCGAAGCAGGAGTGCGATTTGTAATCACAAGTTTGATTTCAGTCCAAAATTGCACGACACGAAGTTCAATTTCCACTTTATTATATTCATTTTGAAATCTTAAACATTGTAAAACCGGAAACGTTTTTGTTTGCAAGACACACC